TTCTCCGTTTTCTTGCCAAAAATAATAAATTAATAATCAAATTTCCATTTCGTTGCTGTTGTTGTTGTTGTTACACCTCAAATGTATGAAGTAGAGTTACCATTATTTGCTTCCTATTTTAGATACAAATTGGTGCCATTGTTACGTCATTGTTACGTCATTGTTATGTTGTTGCTGCCCGTTTTAGTAAGAATTCTATACCCATGAACTGGAAAAACAATTCCTGTGAGGCTATGAGGCATATAATGAAGCTCAATACTAACTGGAAACCTTCAAAACTACCCGAGCTGATTAATCATTTACATGACATTGTAAAACTCCAGTACCTTGACATGCAGTGTGTCATGTATGGACAAGGCAACTACCAACTTGCTCCATGGGTGTCAGGAGAATTCAGAATCAGCCCTCGGGTCTGGGCTACAAAACCTGACCTGGAACAAAAAGGACTTCAGCAGCAACTGCACAAGAGTTGGAGAAAGACATAATAAATAAATGGTCATGGAGCTGGGTGGCCAGAAATATTGACATACCAGCATGGTCCTCCAGGACCGAATGGGGAGGGGGTTACAACTTCATGTAACATTGCCAAATATGCATCCAGAATCAAACTATTTCCGGAGCCCATAAGCGGGCCCTGGACCCGCTTATTCGGGCATTAATCTCGGCAAATAGTATGGTCAACGAGACTAGAAAGTGGATTGGAGAAAAGATCGGCAGCATGATGCAACAGTGGGAGATTGCGAAACACCACTTGGAGAAACACTGCCACGACATGGCATTAGAAGTTTTGTCTGTAACGCCAGACTTTAATCAGCCACCACCTCTACCAATTTTAACAAGCAATGAAATGGAAGAAGAAGATCAACAGCCTGAAAGGGTAAAAAAACCCGATGATCCCCTAGATATTTATAACGAAATTGTAGCTAAATATAATGATATAGACCATACAACGCGGCAAACTTCGGTAATTGGCTAGAAGTTTCTTTTAAAACATTCCAAAGGGATAAGAAAAGGGGGAAGGTAAATTCAGCAAACTTTAACACTTGGTTGAAATACAATTGTAAGATAAAAAGAACTTGGGCAAAAATACACAGAGAAAAAAAACATAAAAAGTTTGTACATGTACAGTAAAGTAATGAAGTACTGGTTAGTTCATTGTCTGCGATAAAGTTTCTGCTAAACTTTATAGTTCCTTTTTTTTATCTTCCATCATTTTTTTCATAGGTCAGGCCATCCACCACCATGGCCAGTCCCACCACAGCCAGCGCCATCATGTCGAGAACCTATACGACATGTATGAAAGGCCAAAGCTCTTATCCTTGGAGATTCTCTAACTAAGTATCTCAAAGAGAACATCACTACTAAGTTAGTTGATGTGCAGGTAGTGACTCATCGTGGTACCACAATTTTGGGCCTTCGAAAGTATCTGCTTCAGTGTCGTGACATATACACAACTACGCCCGACACTGTCGTGATTCATGTCGGGACAAATGATCTTGAGTGGGGTTTCCTGCACAGCAACTTGTGAGAATTCCTTTACCTCATCACCACAGTACGTGAGCTCTTTCCAACTGCTAAGCTGGTGTGCAGTGGAATCCTTCATCGGCAGGACAGTGAAAGTTTGGATGTTTCACGAATGTGTCACAACATTCAGTTGGGGAAAGTTTGTGGGCAGCTTGATTGTCACTTCTCTGACAGCAGCGATGAATTCCATTGTTGGCAATTTGCCAGGGATGGCCTACACTTAAATTGGGATGGGAACTCCCTACTTGGTGAGGTGGTTAAGGGCCATCTGGAGAGACTTGCCAGGACGCTTTCACCAACTCCTGGAAAATGCTCCTCCAACCATACAAATACTATTGGAAGGTTTGTGCCTCCGGAGCTGTGTAGGCTGGTACGAAGACCAATGCAGGTGAAGAAGCCCAAGCCAACTTCAGCAGAAACAGCCCAGTTGCGTCCCCCTACGCTTCCTCCCCGAAAGGACATTGATCTGCAACAAGCCAACCAAGGCAAACGAAGATGTCGTCTGTTTTGTCAGTCAAGAAGAAGATGAGGCGGACCAACATTAATGTCCAGGTTGAGGATTTCCAGACACTTGGGGTAGCCTAAATCCACTTAAGCCTAAATCCACCGCTGTCGTCAAGCCACTTAGTGCAAAGGGTAACATTGCATACACTGAACAAGAGCACCTTGTTGCCAAAGCAATCGTAAACATGGTGATGTGAATTATGTCAGGTCATGTAGGTCAATAAAGCCAACCCATGATGAAATAGGGAAAGGTGTAAGTAATGGTAAACCAAGGAATATTTATCAAGGTCTCGGGAACAATAACCCAGCCGCTGAAGAAGAATGTTCAAAATATGTAGTACCTGTATGCTGTAAGCAAAGAAGAGAGACCTGCCAATCAAACCCTGCAGGCCTACTATGAACCACTAGGGACCAATATCACGGTGCTGCTAAGCACACAAATTTGCTTAGCACAAAAAAGTCTGGCTTAGCAATAGCAGGTTACCTGCCAAAACTCCATGTGATGTATATTGCTATTGATTGGTATTTAGCTGTTGTTTGCTTAGCATGAAAATCACATTGAGTATTGGCTAATAAGCTGCTTTTATAAGCCAGACTTTTTTGGGCTTAACAATTTTTTGTGATTGGCAGCTCCATCATGTCCATGAAATTGGCACTAGTTGTTGTCGTCATGGCTGCACTCGAAAAGGAAGAACCAACACTGCGGTTGATGTGCAGTCAGTCATTCATATGATTTGTGACAGACCTACATGTATTCTACAAGAAATCATTTGAGGCAATGGTAAACCACCATCAATTATACTGTACATGTACAATGAAGAGCAAGTAAAAGATATGGTAAATATTGGCAACGATGATAAATCCAGGACAGCACTGGGCATTGACAGAACATTTAATTTAGGATCCTGTTTTGTAACCTCACTTTTGTTCCAACATCCAAATCTTGTTAGGACTGCAACACATACTTCACCAATTATGTTGGGGCCAATTTACTTACACTGGGACGGTAGCTATAATAAGCATCATAATTTTTCCCCATCTGCAGAGTGTACTAGACATAAGAATGAGGAAGACTCATTGTGGTTAATAATTTAATTCTCGGCTCAGATGAAGAGCAAGCTGTGGCAAAGCAATATGCTTTCCAACATTCAAATCTTGTAACTTGGACTGCAACACATACTCCACCAATTATGCTAGGGCCACTTTACTTACACTGGGACAGTAGCTATAATACACATCATATTTTTACCCCATCTGCAGAGCGTACTAGACATCAGAATGAGCAAGACTCATTTTGGATAATAATTAAATTCTCGGCTCAGATGAAGAGAAAGCTTTAACAAATGCAGCAAAGCAATATGCTTTCCAGAAGCAACTTTTGTTTTGTGTACCAGACATTTACAGGAAAATCATGAGAAGAATTTAGTCTTTAAAAAAATGGTATGGATGATAAATGTAAATCAAAGATGATGAACGACTCCTTCGGATCCAATGGCCCACTCAGTGCTAATAACATTGTAGATTTTGAAGCCAAGTGGTACCTCATCTTAAACAGTATCTGTTATTATTCTTTCAGTTATTGTATCATATCTGTCAAGTGCCTGGGAGCATTTGATTTAAATGGATTTGGCGCTCTATATTGTGTTTGTTGTTTGTTGTTGTTGTTTTGTTGTTGTGGTTGTTGTGGTTGTTGTTGTATTTGTGGTGGTGGTGGTGGTGGTGGTGGTTGTGGTTGCAGTTGTTGTTGTTGTAGTTGTTGTTGTGGTTGTTGTAGTTGTTGTTGTTGTTTTTGTGGTTTTTGTTGTTGTGGTGGTTGTGGTTGTGGTTGTTACACCTCAGTGAAATGTATGAAGTAGAGTTACCATTATTTTCTTCCTATTTTGGATACAACTAGGTCGGTGCCACTGTTAAGTCACTACGTCGTTGCTCCCTGTTTGAGTAAGAATTCTGTACCCATGACCTAAAAGATACTGAAAGATTCCTTCGGATCCGATGGCCCACTCAGTGCTAATGACATTGTAGAGTTTGAAGCTGAAGTGGTACACGTCAGTGAAATGTATAAAGTAGAGTTACCATTATTTGCTTCCTATTTTAGGAACAGGTTGGTGCCACTGTTACATCACTGTATTGTTGCTCCCCGTTTGAGTAAGAATTCTGTACCCATGAACTGGAAGAACAATTCCTGCGAAGCTATGAGCCATATAATGAAGCTCAATACTAAACTGGAAATCTTCAAAACTGCCCAATCTGATTAATCATTTACATGACATTGTAAAACCCCTGTACCTTGACATGCAGCGTGTCATGTATGGACAAGGCAACTACCAACTTGCTCCATGGGTGTCAGGAGAATTCAGAAGACATCCTCAGGTCTGGGCTACAAAACCTGACCTGGAACAAAAAGGACTTCAGCAGCAACTGCACTAGAGTTGGAAAAAAGACATAATAAATAAACGGTCAAGGAGCTGGGTGGCCAGTAATATTGACATACCAGCGTGGTCCTCCAGGACCAAATGGGGAGGGGGTTACAACTTCATGTAACATTGCCAAATATGCAACCAGAATCCAACTATTTCCGGAGGCCTTAAGCAGGCCCTGGACCTCACGCCACTTTCCCACAAGCTCTGTCAGCGTACCTGCCACAAAAAAGTTCCTTGCAGCTGATAATGTCCGATGACAAGACTCTTTATCTCGGAGTGAACATGTGTCTCCTCCGACACTGCATCTTGAAACACCATTAATTTGTTTACCGGCACATCATTAGTAGGGAGATGGACAGGCACTATTCCAAATCCCATCATCTCCCCCCCTCCCAATGATCCCCCGCCCCCTAATACACTATTATATTGGGTGTGACAAAATTCATGCACAATGGGAGTCCAACTGCGTCTGGCTGTATCGCAAGCTCTGTGCAGTCTGGCCAGCACAATGGTTGACCTTCCTTTGAACTAACACTTTTATAAGGTGCGTTAAAGGTGTAGTCTAAAAGTGAAAGGGGACGCTTCAGAGTTGAGTACAAATGCTTAATTTGTTTTTGTTTTGTTTGTTTGTTTGTTTGTTTTTTTAGACGATGGCTTACCCAACGCAGACAGTTGGCATAACGTATAGCCAAGAAGCATTGATCTTGGCAAATAGTATGGTCAACGAGACTAGAAAGTGGATTGGAGAAAAGATCGGCAGCATGGGGGAACACCGCCACGACATGGCATTAGAAGTTTTGTCTGTAATGCCAGACTTTAATCAGCCACCACCTCTACCAATTTTAACAAGCAATGAAATGGAAGAAGAAGATCAACAGCCTGAAAGGGTAAAAAACCCCGTTGATCCCCTAGATATTTATAACGAAATTGTAGCTAAATATAATGATATAGACCATCGAGTGAATGATAGTGTTATCCCCTACGTGGTAGACCATGAACGGTATAGTTTAAGCTATTTAGAAAATTGCGTAAAACACTGTAATGAAGTATATAAACGAGGGGAAGACTGTGTTTAATACAACGCGGCAAACTTCGGTAATTGGCTAGAAGTTTCTTTTAAAACATTCCAAAGGGATAAGAAAAGGGGGAAGGTAAATTCAGCAACTTTAACACTTGGTTGAAAAACAATTGTAAGATAAAAAGAACTTGGGCTAAAATACACAGAGAAAAAAAACATAAAAATTGTGTACATGTACAGTAAAGTAATGAAGTACTGGTTAGTTCATTGTCTGCGATAAAGTTTCTGCTAAACTTTATAGTTCCTTTTTTTATCTTCCATAATTTTTTTTATAGGTCAGGCCATCCACCACCATGGCCAGTCCCACCACAGCCAGCGCCATCATGTCGGGAGCCTATACGACATGTACGAAAGGCCAAAGCTCTTATCCTTGGAGATTCTCTAACTAAGTTTCTCAAAGAGAAAATCACTACTAAGTTAGTTAATGTGCAGGTAGTGACTCATCGTGGTACTACAATTTCGGGCCTTCGAAAGTATCTGCTTCTTTGTCGTGACATATATACAACTACGCCCGACATTGTCGTGATTCATGTCGGAAAAAATGATCTAGAGTGGGGTTTCATGCAAAGCAACTTGCGAGAATTCCGTTACCTCATCACCACAGTACGTGAGCTCTTTCTAAATGCTAAGCTGGTATGCAGTGGAATCCTTCCTCGGCAGAACAGTGAAAGTTTGGATGTTTCACGAATGTGTCACAACATTCAGTTGGGGAACGTTTGTGGGCAGCTTGATTGTCACTTCTTTGACAGCAGCCAGGGATGGCCTACACTTAAATTGGGACGGGAACTCCCTACTTGGTGAGGTGGTTCAGGGGCCATCTGGAGAGACATGCCAGGATGCTTTCACCAACTCCTGGAAAATGCTCCTCCAACCATACAAATACTATTGGAAGGTTTGTGCCTCTGGAGCTGCGTAGGCTGGTACGAAGACCAATGCAAGTGAAGAAGCCCAAGCCAACTTCAGCAGAAACAGCCCAGTTGCGTCCCTCTACGCTTCCTCCCCCAAAGGACATTGGATCTGCAACAAGCCAACCAAGGCGAACGAAGATGCTGTCTGTTTCGTCGGTCAAGAAGAAGATGAGGCGGATCATCATTAATGTCCAGGGTGAGGATTTCCAGACACTTGGGGTAGCTTAAATCCACTTAAACCTAAATCCACCGCTGTCGTCAAGCCACTTAGTGCAAAGGGTAACATTGCATACACTGAACAAGAGCACCTTGTTGCCAAAGCAATCGTAAACATGGTGATGTGAATTATGTCAGGTCATGTAGGTCAATAAAGCCAACCCATGATGAAATAGGGAAAGGTGTAAGTAATGGTAAACCAAGGAATATTTATCAAGGTCTCGGGAACAATAACCCAGCCGCTGAAGAAGAAGGTTCAAAATATGTAGTACCTGTATGCTGTAAGCAAAGAAGAGGGACCTGCCGATCAAACCCTGCAGGCCTACTATGAACCACTAGGGACCAATTTCACGGTGCTGCTAAGCACACAAATTTGCTTAGCACAAAAAAGTCTGGCTTAGCAATAGCAGGTTACCTGCCAAAACTCCATGTGATGTATATTGCTATTGATTGGTATTTAGCTGTTGTTTGCTTAGCATGAAAATCACATTGAGTATTGGCTAATAAGCTGCTTTTATAAGCCAGACTTTTTTGGGCTTAACAATTTTTTGTGATTGGCAGCTCCATCATGTCCATGAAATTGGCACCAGTTGTTGTCGTCATGGCTGCACTCGAAAAGGAAGAACCAACACTGCGGTTGATGTGCAGTCAGTCATTCATATGATTTGTGACAGACCTACATGTATTATACAAGAAATCATTTGAGGCAAGGGTAAACCACCATCAATTATACTGCATAATAAAGAGCAAGTAAAAGATATGGTAAATATATTGGCAACAATGATAAGTCAAGAGTAGTATTGACAGAACACTTAATTTAGGATCCTGTTTTGTAACCTCACTTGTATTCCAATATCCAAATCTTGTTAGGACTGCAACACATACTTCACCAATTATGCTGGGGCCAATTTACTTACACTGGGATGGAAGCTATAGTACACATCATACTTTCCCCCATCTGCAGAGCGTACTAGACATAAGAATGAGCAAGACTCATTTTGGATAATAATTAAATTCTCAGCTCAGAGATGAAGAGAAAGCTTTAACAAATGTGGCAAAGCAATATGCTTTCCAGAAGCAACTTTTGTTTTGTGTACCAGACATTTACAGGAAAATTATGAGAAGAATTTAGTCTAAAAAAAAATGGTGTGGGACGATAAATGTAAATCAAAGATACTGAAAGACTTCTTCAAATCCAATGGCCCACTCAGTGCTAATAACATTGTAGATTTTAAAGCCGAAGTGGTACCTCATCTTAAATAGTATCTGTTATTATTCTTTTAGTTATTGTATCATATCTGTAAAGTGCCTGGCAGTATTTTATTTAAATGGATTTGGCGCTATATAAACTTATGTTGTTGTTGCTGTTGTTGTTGTTACACCTCATTGAAAAATACCATTATTTGCTTCCTATTTTGGGTACAGGTTGGTGCCACTGTTACGTCACTATGTCAATGCTCCCCGTTTAAGTAACAATTCTTTACCCATGACGTAAAAAAGATGTTATGGACGATACATGTAAATCAAAGATACTGAACGACTCCTTCGAATCCAATGGCCCACTCAGTGCTAATGAAATTGTAGATTTTGAAGCCGAAGTGGTACATGTCAGTGAAATGTATGAAGTAGAGTAACCAAATTTGCTTCCTATTTTAGGAACAGGTTGGTGCCACTGTTACGTCACTGTATTGTTGCTCCCCGTTTGAGTAAGAATTCTGTACCCATGAACTGGAAGAACAATTCATGCGAAGCTATGAGCCATATAATGAAGAACAATACTAACTGGAAACCTTCAAAACTGCCCGATCTGATTAACCATTTACATAACATTGTAAAACTCCAATACCTTGACATGCAGCGTGTCATGTATGGACAAGGCAACTACCAACTTGCTCCATGGGTTTCAGGGAAATTCAGAATCTGCCCTCAGGTCTGGGCAACAAAACCTCACCTGGAACAAAAAGGACTTCAGCAGCAACTGCACAAGGAGCTGGATGGCCAGAAATATTGACATACCAGTGTGGTCCTCCAGGACCAAATGGGGAGGGGGTTACAACTTCATGTAACATTGCCAAATATGCATCCAGAATCCAACTATTTCCGGAGGCCTTAAGCAGGCCCTGGACCTCACGCCACTTTCCCACAAGCTCCGTCAGCGTACCTGCCACAAAAAAGTTCCTTGCAGCTGATAATGTCCGCTGACAAGACTCTTTATCTCGGAGTGTACATGTGTCTCCTCCGACACTGCATCTTGAAACACCATTAATTTGTTTACCGGCACATCATTAGTAGGGAGATGGACAGGCACTATTCCAAATCCCATTATCTCCCCCCTCCCAATGATCCCCCGCCCCCTAATACACTATTATATTGCGTGTGACAAAATTCATGCACAATGGGAGTCCAACTGCGTCTGGCTGTATCGCAAGCTCTGTGCAGTCTGGCCAGCACAATGGTTGACCTTCCTTTGAACTAACACTTTTATAAGGTGCGTTAAAGGTGTAGTCTGAAACTTAAAGGGGACGCTTCAGAGTTGAGTACGATGGCTTACCCAACGCAGACAGTTGACATAACGTATAGCCAAGAAGCATTAATCTTGGCAAATATTATGGTCAACGAGACTTGGAGAAAAGATCGGCAGCATGATGCAACAGTGGGAGATTGCGAAACACCACTTGGAGGAACACCGCCACGACAGGGCATTAGAAGTTTTGTCTGTAACGCCAGACTTTAATCAGCCACCACGTCTACCAATTTTAACAAGCAATGAAATGGAAGAAGAAGATCAACATCCTGAAAGGGTAAAAAAACGTTGATACCCTAGATATTTATAACGAAATTGTAGCTAAATATAATGATATAGACCATCGAGTGAATGATAGTGTCGTCCCCTGCGTGGTAGACCATGAACGGTATAGTTTAAGCTATTTAGAAAATTGCGTAAAACACTGTAATGAAGTATATAAACAAGGGGAAAACTGTGTTTTATACAACGCGGCAAACTTCGGTAATTGGCTAGAAGTTTCTTTTAAAACATTCCAAAGGGATAAGAAAAGGGGGAAGGTAAATTCAGCAAACTTTCACACTTGGTTGAAAAACAATTGTAAGATAAAAAGAAATTGGGCAAAAATACACAGAGAAAAAAACATAAAAATGTTGTACATGTACAGTAAAGTAATGAAGTACTGGTTAGTTCATTGTCTGCGATAAAGTTTCTGCTAAACTTTATAGTTCCTTTTTTTATCTTCCATTATTTTTTTTATAGGTCAGGCCATCCACCACCATGGCCAGTCCCACCACAGACAGCGCCATCATGTCGGGAGCCTATACGACATGTACGAAAGGCCAAAGCTCTTATCCTTGGAGATTCTCTAACTAAGTATCTCAAAGAGAACATCACTACTAAGTTAGTTAATGTGCAGGTAGTGACTCATTGTGGTACTACAATTTCGGGCCTTCGAAAGTATCTGCTTCATTGTCGTGACATATATACACAGCTACGCCCAACATTGTCGTGGTTCATGTCGGGACAAATGATCTAGAGTGGGGTTTCCTGCAAAGCAACTTGCGAGAATTCCGTTACCTCATCACCACTTTACATGAGCTCTTTCTAATTGCTAAGCTGGTATGCAGTGGAATCCTTCCTCGGCAGGACAGTGAAAGTTTGGATGTTTCACGAATGTGTCACAACATTCAGTTGGGGAACGTTTGTGGGCAGCTTGATTGTCACTTCTTTGACAGCAGCCAGGGATGGCTTACACTTAAATTGGGACGGGAACTCCCTACTAGATGTAGTGGTTCAGGGGCCATCTGGAGAGACATGCCAGGATGCTTTCACCAACTCCTGGAAAAAGCTCCTCCAACCATACAAATACCATTGGAAGGTTTGTGCCTCCGGAGCTGCGTAGGCTGGTACGAAGACCAATGCGGGTGAAGAAGCCCAAGCCAACTTCAGCAGAAACAGCCCAGTTGCGTCCCTCTACGCTTCCTCCCCCAAAGGACATCGATCTGCAACAAGCCAACCAAGGCGAACGAAGATGTCGTCTGTTTTGTCAGTCAAGAAGAAGATGGGGCGGATCAACATTAATGTCCAGGGTGAAGATTTCCAGACACTTGGGCTAGCCTAAATCCACTTAAGCCTAAATCCACCGCTGTCGTCAAGCCACTTAGTGCAATGGGTAACATTGCATACACTGAACAAGAGTACTGGATGGTCTATGGGTATTTGCCAGCAGAATCCAATTACGATGTCAAGAAACAATTGTGCATACATTTTCTTCTTTTTTTTACCAAAAATAATAAATCAATAAAATTTTTCCAAATGGCTGTCATGTTGTTTGTCTTTTCTTTTTGTAAACGAAGATACAAGTTCTAGCAGGCTGGGGTCGGAGTGGAAATGTGGTGGCAGGGGGATTGTTCAGCCTGTTTCATCATATCAGCGTCTGTCAGACAGTAAGTGCATTCAGAGATAACTCAAACAAGATCTGTTTGTCACATGATCGAGACATACTCCAATGGAAAGAAGCTCACATTCTGTGGCATGGCCGCTAGTTACAGAATATGGTACAATTTAATGGCATGTGCGGATGTTCATTTTGGGAGCACCTTGGTCAGTAGGTGCTCCGGGAAATGGGACAGCCCATGTTTACTCACTTGATTTATACCCAGAAAGGTCAGAAGAAGAAACCTTGATATCCAATTGGAATAAATTGGACATTTTGGCAAAGGGTGGTTATGCACAGTGACTGGGGAACATCGTCATTATGCAAACATGTGCTACTATCACCAGCATACTATT